AAGCACACCTAAATATGTGGAGAAGCAACTGTGTTCCTGTGAATTAAACCATTACACGCGAGTTCTCTATAGTTTAGGACGTTACAATGATCTTTCACACTCCACAGTTGCATCGCTTGTTGACTGCGAGATGTGAAACTATCATTTGGTACTTGCTCAATGGTAAGGCAGACAGAATAACATACTGCAAATGTTGCGACATATGAAAAGAGATTGTGTATCGGATAAAAACAAAGTTAAACTTCAATGCTACGTCAGTGTCAGCGTTGGAATTTGCAATTAGTGAGTGTCAGGCAAACTATGTGACTCGCACGACTAGGCGTCCAGACCAGAGATTAACTGAGCACTTACCATCCCGGGGTTGGAAACGGAGAAACTACACTCTGATCAGTGCAATTGCAAATCACCTGATCGATGCAATCCAACCCAACTCAATCGTTCAAATGCCGACTAATCATTCAGAGGTCATCTGCAAAGTAGAAACAGCTGTGCCCATTGAAATCAAATTATTCTAACTGTCACTCTGTCATCGAAAAGGTACATGAATGTACTGACTTTAGCTTGGTCATTCAATGACCCTCATCTTCGAGATTCTTTTGAGGGCCACTTGTCCGTGAGTAAGAGCTAACAGGATCGCACTTGTTATTCCCCAACCATGTAAACTAGTTATAAATGCACCTGTCTGCTTACAATTTGTCGGAAGTATCTCCCGAAAGCAATGTGTTCTGATCTCAGATCGCCTATTTGATATGATTAGTATAGATTCTCGCGGTTATAAGGTGGTTGTTGAATAATTTTCAGTAAATTAGCGATCGTATTTGGTTTTGTGAGGGACTCACTCGGAATCCAGCTGAATCTCTCGTTTGTGATGTTTCCAGGTTGACTGAAACTCTGGTTAGATGAGCACTTACCATCCCGGGGTTGGAAACAGAAAAACTACACTCTGATCAGTGCAATTGCAAATCACCTGATCGATGCAATCCAACCCAACTCAATCGTTCAGCATAATTTATCAAATGCCGACTAATCGTTCAGAGGCCAACCCAACTCGTTCAGCATAATTTATCAAATGCCGACTAATCGTTCAGAGGTCAGCTGCAAAGTAGAAACAGCTGTGCCCGTTGCAGTCAGGTTGTTTAAACTGTTATTCTATAATCGAAAAGGCACATGAATGTATTGACTTTAGCTTGGTCATTCAATGACCTTCATCTTCGAGATTCTTATGAGAGCCACTTGTCCCTGAGCTTTAGCTTACAGCATCGCACTTGTTATTCCCCAGCCATGTAGACTAGTCATAAATGCACTTATCTGCTCATAATTTGTCGGAGTTACCTTCCGCAAGCATTGTGTTCTGATCTCAGATCGCCTATTCACTGATTCAACATTCATCTTCAGACCAGTGTAGTAGGAGAACATAAGGTTAATGGACTGCTTCTACCTCATAAGTCTCATACGGTCGAAAACTGGTTCCGAGCTATCGACAATTTTTCAGCAATCTGAGTAATGTTCTTTTTAGCAAAAACCGTTCCCCTTGCTGAGAGGAACATCGTACTTTTTGGCCACGTTTCACTAATTCAACATTCATCTTCAGACCAGTGTAGTTAACCTCTATGCAATAGGTTCTTACTACTCGTTAAATTGCAATCATTTTGGCTTGAAAATGCTGAAAAATCAAACAAAATCTAGCTACGTATATCACCACAGATCATTTTCGCTCCCATTTCATTCACAACTACAGTAGCCCACGCTTTATCAGACAACTGACTGTCTTGAATGAGTGGTCTTCCAAGAAAATTACACACCTGAATTCATCTCAGTGGCATATATGGGAAGTATCACATTTCACTTGCTAATTAACACAGATAAATTTCACCTCAGAGAAGATATTTCAAGCAGGTTGTAGACTCTGACGTCAATCAGGCAACATTAAAGTCCTCTAAACCTTTGAGAGAGCAGCATGCTTTCTAGGAAGTCGATTGTAACGATGGAACGCAGACTCTGTCGAGGGGGCCGTCACAAGTGATGCCATTGTGATAACCTAAGTGCTACATGGGAACAAGCCCACGGAGAACCAATCTGATTGGAAGACTCAAATCGGCCAACACGTAGCCGCGTTCAGACAATCAATACTACCAAGTCGTAACGATTCAAAGTGGAATTTCTTGATAGACAACTGTTGTACGGTCAGTTACATCCGTACGAACAGAACAGAATGGTTGCATTGCCGATCTAGGTAGCCCACAAAATACTACCATCTGTCCAACAAGAGGAAAGTTTCCAGTTAATAGGTTATTACCAGCCACATGGTCATTCCTTGTCAATCGTTGGTATTCGATTGAAAGCCTTTTTCTGATGCGATCATACAACTTAGTAGGGTTTTGAAGTGCTTCATTATTGTAGTAGCTGCTTCGGTCGCTGTGGGTTGACTGGATATGTGACTCAGTTGTTTTGCTTGCCTGCCACGAAAGCGGACCAGTTTGGCCGCGTGTACCCAATACACCCGTGTCCGTACTTAGGCGTTCTTCTGACTTACTGTGGACTACAATAAATATGTAGACGTATTGGTTTTTATTACACATGTCCATTAATGAGGAATAATTTACCCAATGGTTGTACTCATTATTCCTCTCAAGGTGACACAATTTGAACACATTTGTTTTCAGCAAGACACTCAGAAGACAATTCTGGGATCTGCAGAGGAACCTAGACTTGGAATGCTTTACGGGAATATATATATATATATATATATATATATATATATATATGACAATCGTCGAGAGTAGCCCTTCAAGTCAAGTTACTCCCTTTGCTATTCGTCACTTTGAGATTGTGTTTTAACAGCCTACTTATTCGGTTGCGTAGGCATTTTCCCCGTGGCGTAGGACTATACTTCGCCTCTTTAAGCCACTCACGTTATCGACAAACACACTTCACCTACACACACCACGCATCTTTGAATGGTTTTACCAACCAAGACGGAGATCGATGCCATCTTTTTGATAAGACAACGTGCATTGAACAGCTGCCATATGTCCAGTTTCCCATCATGCTTCAAAGAAAAACGAACCTTGCGCTTTTCTAACTTTTGAATTGACTGTGTTCTCAATGTCTGGTTTAGCTTAGTCATTGTCCCATGCCACGAAAGTTCTTTTGGCAATAGTTCAGATGTCATGAATTGCCCCCTTCACAAAAACAACGCCATTGGAGATCTGAACTGTTTAAATTTAAAAATTTCTCATCAGACATCATTTTCGACTCTTCATAATCCATCAACTCCGTGCCTCATATACGTTCCAGTCAGCTGGAAAGCTTTTGTGTGTTTCAAGAGCGTTAAACTCCAGAGTATATACTGGATATACTCGACCTTCATATTCTAAAGTACCCTTTTATATTCGAAGTACTTGCCATCTGATGGCTTGTGGCACTCGGAAAATTTCGATCTTCTTTGTCGCAAAGAGGTCGTGGTAAATTTGATTTCATCGAAAGGCTGCTCAGAGATTTCGTCCAGCAAACCGGTTGTGACAACTTCTGATGGAACAAAATTTATTGCATTTCGTTGCTCATCCCCGCATCCTATCAGGGATGAAAGACTTTTTGGTAGAGTGAGGATAGCTAGGAATTCCAATCAAGGTTTTATCATGAAAAGTTGAGAGGCACCGTACAGTTGTTTCAGTACGGGTAGGTATTGTGGCAAGCGACGACAAATTTAGATCTCAGCCGTCTTTAAGAGGACTCAACCTATCGATTAGTAAGTGAGCAACAGATCATCCGGCCAAGACTGGTTGATGAGTTATGGGATTAAATCTCAATCCTGCATTCATGTGATTCATATCACATGGCCACGTACTTTCCAACTCATCGAGTGAACACTTCTCAGATGGAGGATTGTTCCCATCCTGAACAGAGGCCATCTCGAATTAACTTTCTAAACCTCCTCATACTACCCCACAAGCAATCCAACAGAAAAATCTGAAAATCTGACAAGTTCATCACCGGAAAAAGTAGTTAACACGTGGTGTGAGTCGCGTGAATGACGGACAAGTATCGCTGTATCCTATTCAATTGTGAGCCAGTCACACTGCCATTCAGATACTCCTGGCCAAACGGTCGCAGATCCCATTCTCCTTGGTAAATCGCAATAAGCACACTTCATGGAGCATCTCAGGGTAGACTGACTTCACTTGCAGGATGAAATATTGACGAATATTTTTTGTACAGCAAGAACTCGTGTCCCATCTTCCAAATGAACTAGTACCCTGTTAACAAATATATTCAGTTGCACACAAGTTTGTTTTGCACTGGAAAGTCACCTGCTAGACCTCTCTTCCATGATATCTAGGGGTTTTCAGTGACCTCTTGAGTAGTGTGTTCAGCACCCATGTTCGGATCTGTGAGCATCAAGGGTGTTGAGTACTGTATACCTACACCTATCAGTTGGATCCACCAGGCCTCCGCAACATGGTCCTCCTTTCGGAGTTCAGTGTAAACCAAACCGAAGCTAATTACTCGCTCAGTGACTAGCGACAGTGCTGTTGAAGACTTGAGTGTACTGGAATGAATATCCTTAGGTGGACTAAAGGGTAATCATGTGTGTATACATGTTCATGTCAAGTACCTGCTGACGAACATCCACAGCACTTATCCCAGACGAACCAATCAGATTGCACTGCTGTTGAGATAGTTTTTTGTGCTCGACGTAGCCGAATAAAAGCCTTTTATCTATGCGTGTTCACACGAGTAGATGTGTTCGTTTTCTGACTTGCACTCTCGCCTCGTGATGCACCTTGGCGAACGTAAAACCATCTGAGAAAATATTTGACTTGCGCGCCAACGGTTGATTCAAATGACCTTCGGATGGATCTCTCATTTGTGGCATCCTCCAAGCGAATATGCAGTTCAAAGACTCAGGTCAACTATCAAGAAATCGAGGTTTTGTTTCCTGTAAGTGATATCAGAAAATTACTCACAGTTCACCGATAGCCCACTAACGTTTGCACTCAGTGTGAATTTCATCAAGTAGACAGTCGCATCACCAAAGCGGTTGAAACCAATAAGTAAGTCGAAGTCCGAGTGAGAAATCTCGTTTAATATAAGGTTATTCTGATGGAATAAGAGTCGAAAACCTCCTCCGCGTTTTCCGAACCAACACAGCGGTCGAAGTACATGTAACAGCCTGACCGAATTTGCTTGCTCGGTCCTCCGTTTTGCGGATATCGAGATCAAGGAGGTTAAGTTGGCTGTCGTGTCTAAGTTCTAGGGTAAATTGGATAGTTGAGTTTCTGGACTCTAAGGCCTTTGTGGAGCTATTAGTATCTTTTGCTATTTTGACCCACAGACCTGATCGCAATCATCGTGTAGCTCGATTTTACACAAAATTCCCGCATATGGAGATTGTTACACACAGACACTCAAGGGATCATACTGTGTGTTTGCATTTCGGATTCATTTGATCAAGACACGCTCATTACCGCACACAAAATGGTACAACTTGCCGGTTGTCAGAAGAAAACGCTATACGGTGGAGGCACTGACAGTGTGTCAGCGCCAGTCAGGTAGTACATGGCATCGAAAATCTAAACATAAAATTGCTGTGGTAACGTGTGGCCTGGCAATAGCACTGCTTTTGAAGTCACGTTCAACGCAGAAGTCAGCAGGATTTCGACGGCACGAGCGTCGGTCGACCGGTTGGTTGATCCACTTAGTTGACAGACAAAGCAGACAGACAAATCTGTCTGTCTGTATTCGTCCATTGATCTGTCTGTTCACCATGTCTCGATGTGAAAGCTAAGGTGACCTTGAGCCGACGCACACCATGTCGGTGCGTCTGTGCGCCTGGGCTGTCGTAAATGATGGCTGAATCCGGCTCGCCTTCGTCTTATTGATTTTCCTCCCGTACAGTTGTGACCGTCGCGGAGGCTGGGATGCAGAAGCAATCGAACACCCCGCCGCGTTGCAACGGCGCGAAGGAATGAGTGAAATAGCCCACGGAAGGTTAGATAGTAATCATTACCAGAAGCAGATAACGATGGTCGAAGCAAATCGCCACAATTACGGAGAATGACCAAACTGTTCCGAAGTTTGAATGTTCTTCCTAGAGCGGTCGCGTAGACATTTTCCAAAAAAAACTTGAAAGTCTCCCTGCCGCATAACTCAGTTCAGTTGAAGCCAAAGCAATCCCGGAATTGTACTTACCGTTGTTTGATGTGATAGAATAATGATGTTCGACTTTGATACACCAACGCGAGTACTTGAAAATACACTCATATATATATATATATATATATATATATATATCGTTGTTCTAAGTAATGAATCCACATTAGCCGTAGAACTCCAAGAAAAGTATACAAGCTATCCTTATCTCGCTAATCCGACCAGACTGAGAGCAACAAGATATCCAGACAAAATCCTGATTTGGACTCTGGAAAAGCATGGAGAGCTCAAATACACTATGCTTACTTGTATCGAATTCTCCAACTTACTGAGCAAAACCTAGGCTCCAAATACGCTGAACCCGAATCGATTAGTCTTCAGAGGTCTTCCGAACTATACGGTGGATACGACAGAGGGCCAATTTGGTTCTTCCGATGAACCGACCCCATTATGATTGAATGTTTCAGGAATCCGAATGGGGGCTGATCTAATGAAGTTAGTGGAAAAGCTTAAATTTTATCAGTCATATTTGGCGAACAGGTGGTAAATCGATAGTCTGACTTTAAAGGCACCAATCAATTGTCGACAGCTGGAAGGAAGCCACGAAACTAGACAGCTCAGCAGATAGAGACAGAGGCAAACATATCCAGTGCTTTTCTAAACAGAGATGGACATCATCAAACCAATGTTTTAGATCGGGAAAATTGACTTTTGACATCACCTTGCAAATGGACACTCCGCGAGAAATGATCGGTGACTTTACCCTAAGGCCCATTTGCATATCGTTATCCAATGAATGACATCGTTTAATCTACCAATGGCTGCAAGTCATCACTAGACTACAACGCAACACAATTAGTGGAACAATCATGTCGATAATCTGTTTGAATGCGTCCAAAAGGGAGAGTACGGTTCAAATCAGGACCGACTCAAAAATTTTTCTCTTCCTCTGTTCGGTTAGAATTCTTTTAGTCAAGTGTACTCACTCATCGCTGCGGTTGTCAAACAACTAGATTGTTGCGCAGTATCCAGAAGAATATTGGTAACCTATTGACTAAGAGGTACTTCATCGAGTCTTCAGGTCCAGTAGATTCATCACGCGCATGAATTTAAAATAGACGCTTAACAAACTCGTTGTTCAAGCCATGGAATTATTATCTCAGTTTCGACGGACTAGGTCCACTTGATGTGCCTCGAACAGTGCGAAACCGCTAGCGGGTTGACTGGGGATTTTGAACAACTGTGCTAAACAACTTATTTATTTCAATTTGGTTTTGACGGGTGACTCAACTGGAACCCAGCTGAATTGCTCGTTTGTGACGTGCTTAAGCAACTGAATCTGTTGCACCAGGCCGCCTCATGTTTCAGTTGCAACTATAATCAACATTTCGCAGTACATGTATATTCGTACTGCACTACTCACAAGGTTGCTGGAAATTCTTCGACAGCCCACAGCCGGTTTTTGCCCTTCTTGGGGCTCATCAGGTAGGCGCATTCCCCGAGTTTTCGTGCAGTACACTCAGTTGCCTGGAAACATCACAAATGATAGATTCAGTTGGGTTCCGGGTGGGTCTTCCACAAAACCAAATTTGTTTGCAAATGAGTGTATTTCGCTAATGTTTGAGAGTTATTTTCTATCAGTGTTGCGTGATCACTGGAGTGTTTTACTAGGTGTATCTATATTACAAAAAATAGGGATTACTTGTAGAATGGGAACAATGTGGCTGCAGAGGGAAATGTGAAGACTGTTTATTTATTCTGGTTGCTTTTTAGACAGAGGTGTTCCCCACAAGGGGGGCTGATCTGTGCGCATGTCGTTACACGCAAATCTGCAAGCCACGGGTGGTTTTCCATCAAACATGCGGTGACGTTTGGGATTTTGGCATAGACGGAACATCAGAAGTTCCGAATATATTCTGTATCTTCATTTGACAGTCCGAACACAGAACACACGCTTAATTGGGTGAGCAATTATTGATAGATTTTGTTATAATAAAGTGTATGTAAAAAGTTGAGGAAAACTAAAAACCAAGCCGCGTGTCTACAAGGCGATGGTTCTCTCTATCCTCTTGTGCCCGGAGGACCCTCCGATTCGTGAGACGCTTTCACATGCACTGCCTGAGACGAATATTCGGTGTTCACTGGACTGAAAAAATATCCAAAGGGTGTATTGCGATAGAACGGTGATCATGCTCACATCCGACCCTTTAGGGTGTATGAGACATATTTTCCAAGTGAAGTGGAACAGATTTCCGAGGTAGCTTCTGTTCGGTCAACTGAATACGGAGAATGGAGAGTCTTGAGTCACAGCTGCTGACGTGGATTTCGTGCAGTAAAAAGTAGAATAAAAAGAAGATAGCATAGAGGAAAACGATTGTGGGGTAGAGTTCTTCAACTGCACAACCACCAACTTCGACCTAGAGAGCTGAAGCCTCCAAGACGCGATGGCGTTGTTGGGACGGCTAGAACTTTAGACCGAACAAGCTCGATCTGAAGCGTTTGTGCTGGTCGCCGACTAGCCACCGGCCGGCAAACACGGTGATCCGTCGGAGGGTCGTTCACGAGTTTACAAGAACCACCCAAGCTTTCTGAGGTTATCGTGTAGCTAGGCCGGGTCAGAGCTAAAAGTAGCATTCTGTGATGATCGCCGTCGACTAAAGTGTTTTAGCACGCTGAATTCCAGAAAGCCTAATGGTTAAGGCTTCGGCCTACTGACCGGAGGGTTCGTAATTCGATCACAAACTCAGCATCTCGACAGCTCCCGTACAGGTTTAAGCAACCCTTTAATTGCACCTTCCAAATCAATAGTACACCGATCGATGTTCCTCTCTATCTCACCAAAGATCAGCTGCCTTCAGTCAGCAGGTCCAAGCTTATCTACCAAGCCGAATCGATTAGCGGAATGAGGCACTTAAAAAGCACAATCGAAGAGCATTTCGCAAATCAAAATGTTGAAACTCTACCACAACTAGGGCCATTTACGCACTGACCATGTTATTAACTCAGTAACTGCTTTTAAGGTCCAAACACATGCTTTTCACTGCAGAAGTTATCTCAGCACATCGTTTCAACTCCATTTTGTGTGTCCGAGAGCAGTTCCTGACCAACAGCGCACTAGCTCGATAATTCAGAATACTTTAATTTTTACGGTCAAGTAAATTTATTGTCGTTATTGGTTTTTGTGAGTACTCCACTTGACGTTGGTATTGATTATATGAAAGTAGCGCACCTTTTGGACGTGTGTCTAGGTTCAACTCCGAGTTCCGCCCATTTCAAAACTGGAGCAGTTTTTAATTCATTCAACACATGAAAGATTTGAACAACCAAGTAAACTCTTCTCGGTGAGTGATGTTGTGTATTTTCGAAAAGATTTAAACATGGTCTGTGGAAGGGTTACGAAGAAGTTGCCGTATTTTGGTGAGGTGAGCAGTGTACATAACTGAAAGATCATAGCCGGTTTCTTGAAATCGAAGTGAGCAGGTAATCATTCCATATTCCGACGTTTCACCTGGCCACCTTTCCCTATCCAGAATCACTACCTGAACTTTCCTTGGTGAATCAAACCCCCTGGCTGCAAGCTGAACCGTTGTTTTTCTTTTAGACACCTCATCAAAGATCGCACCATTGCATTCCAGGTTACATGCGGTGTGATTCATGACCCTGAGCGTACCTTACTGAACAGTACCAATTGCAATTCATTCAAGGATGTTTTCTGGTCTTTGTGAATCTTGGATGTGGCGCGCACCTTGCCGTCTGTGCCGTGCAAAAACTCGTGGACCAAAGCCTCGAGGTATTCGTCAGATGACTTGAGACAACACGTCGAAGTCCTCGTTCCTCGTTGTCGAGAATATTTTTCTATTTAATTCCACTTCCCCGCAGATACACGTCCGTTTGGATCGGTGAAAAAGCTGTTGACAAGGCCATTCATGCTTTTCCAGTGGTCTTGCGTACAACCAGTCGTGAGTCTCAGGTGACATCTATCTGCGTATCATAGCTCGACTTCGCATAATAGGCTTTAGATGATACAAAACCTGAATCAGTATCGTGTATAGGTCATATTTAAACCTTGGAAGTGATCGATAGCGCGCAACCGAACATCACTCAGTCCAAGGGTAGTTAGCCTAAACTATGTACAACAGCTGTTGATAAAACACGGACAGTCAGTTGATGCGATCGCCTGCCCGGGATGCCTCCCACATCAGTCCGCACTTCTCAAATAAATTAGTCATGCCAAATTGTTCAACCCAGTCAGACCTGGATTCTGACATGTCGCGAAGTTGATTCCCCCAAATGTCGGAATACCTGAGAAAGTAAAGAGATCTTCGAATAGATTAATCATACCAAATTATTCAACCCAGTCAGACATGGATTCTGACATGTCGCGGAGTTGATTGCCCCAAGTGTCGGAATACCTGAGAAAGTAAAGAGATCTTTTCTCCAATATTACTTCCAACAGTGAATATATGCAGGCCAGCAAAGCGGGGCGAGAGGGCTTAATTGGTTAGAGCGCGACTATACTGACCGGAAGGTCCGTGGTTCGAACCCGACCTCTGCCTCTCAACTTCCTCTGTCTAGGCTTGGGCAACCTGGCAGTATCCCAGCCCTCGTGCTTCCTTCGGGGAGCATGGCAGCTGGGCACCGGAAGGGTGTTACAACTGGACGAAAGCGGACTGGAGCATCTGGATTTCAAAGCATGAGTATCAACCCCGATGCATATTGAAATGCGCGTCATTTGATCATCCCAAGACATCTGACGGGTCCAGATGCAGGATAAGTGCACAGTTGTGTGAAAGTCATGTTTTTGTGTTATAAGACGCAGAAGTGAGTGCATCACTGTGTTGTGATGTGCAATCACCTCAATACTACTCAATAAGTCGATGAAAACCACTAGTGGTTTCGCTCTTCCTGAGATCGATCGGGCAAGCCTGGTCTCCGAATCTCCATCAGTTCAGTTTCCTACTTAGAAACCGAATTGTGTATCTGGTGCAGTAAACGCACATTCGCTGATAGGCGCCCAGTTGAACTTCACTCAAATCCTTGGTTCATAATATTCCTTTTTCTATCTGGCTTTTAATTATACAAACCTCACTTCTGTGTAACTTGATCCGCCGTATGAGTTGGCGGTCTTGACAGTACTCATTTCCTTCAAGCCTACCTAAACATCCCTCAAATTGTTGGAAGGTCAAAGGCATGGACTAATCAACTGAGCACTCTATGAGATTTGGTTGTTGGTCTGTTCGCCGAGCTTGGCAGTGGGATTGCAAACGTTTCATCACCAATCAAGGTGACATCGTCAGGGCAGGGTTGAGTGAGACCCAACTGCCAAGCTCGGCGAACAGACCAACAACCAAACAGCGCACTCGAGCTACCTACATTCCACAACATTGCTAACTCCATGAGATTACCAAGGCACACCAAAGGAATCGGGGTTTTATCGTGTTCGAAATTTATGTCCTTGCTTGGTCAGTAGGTATGCAGAGTTGCAGTAAGTTGTTTATCTACATTACAATATTAACAATCGACTTTCCCTATCAACACAAATCGGCATAAGGGTGAAAGGAAGAAGACCTTCGCTACGGAGTTATTTATTAGAAAATACCAACTGAACAGTTACAGACTATTGGACGGGGAAGCAAAACTCTCATATGCATCATATTTACAAAAACTGAATATCCATCTTCTCTTGAACGCGTCTTTCTGAACTATCCTGGATGTTCATTGACTGTTGCTCAAATCCAACCAAATCGTACAAGGCGACTCCACAGATTCCGCAGTAGAGCATCTCCCTTTTCAAGTGACGCAAGGCGAATTTACAAGAAGGATACATACTACTCGCATGCCTCCCCATCAATAGTATTACCGTTACAACGGTAGCATAATAGCTACCCTCACATATGATGTCAACAGAACACACGTTCACCTGAACCTGTCATAATGTTAGATGATGTGTTTTGCAGCCTGTCTCAATGTGTATTCGGTCTTACTGTGGTTGACATGAGGTTGACACCGAAACCAGTCAATGTTATTTGTCACTGAACGGAAAAGAAACCGACTTTGACAGTCATAATGTTAGATGGTGTGTTTTGCCGCCGGTCTCAATGTGTGTCCTATCTTACTGTGGTTGACATGAGGGTGACACACCGAAACCAGTCACTGAACGGAAAAGAAACCGACTTTGAAGAGCGCCACTGAGAGTCAGCGTTGCCCTCGTGTGAATCATAAGCCTGGCAGACATGAAGATACTTTCCACACACAGTCGACTGACCTAGATGATCGTGTCAGCAACCACACGTGATCGAAAACCGTTATCAGACTATCCACGCTAGCTTGTGACAACTGATTTCGACTGTTCAACTCTCTATCTGTTGTTATCTAGTGACCAATTTGTAATAATCCTTATCAGCATTTATGTTGTCAGTCAGTTGCCACAATTATTTTCTGTGTCCTGACTGCCATTCTCGGTCGGAACATGTGCTGTTGTTAATCCCTGTCTTCAGCGATCCCGGAGACACAAAGTATTTATTTCAAAGAGTGTCTGGGACTTTGAGTGACGTTCAAAACAAGGGGATGATCGACAGAATGCCACATTTCTCAAGGACAGGTTTTCTCTGGAGATTGAAACGGTCACAGTTTGACACAAATGGCCTCCATCTCTCTCCCTTTTTCATGGTTACTACGAGAAGCTGGCGGCGTATGGAGAAATCACGAACCAAGATTCGTTGGCATGTCCATGGGTAAGATGATCGTATCGCAGAGACACTACATATCATCTAGGGAAATCCCATAATTTTCAAGCTGAAGATCCAAGGGATTGGTTACCGTTGGTGGACAAACGACGTCTTTTGGATGAAGCAAACAGAAACTTATATATTTTTGTAATCCACCTCTCATAAGGTTGCTGAAAATCCATCGACAGCCCACGACCGGTTTCGCCCTTCTTGGGGCCCATCAGGTAAGCGCAGTCCCCGAGTTTCCGTCAACCCAATGTTCTACTTGAAACCTAATTGCACGATATCAGCGAATATACACTCATTTACAAACTAATTTGTTTTCTGTTTTTGTTTTTTGTTTGTTTTTTGGTTTTGTTGAACGTGGCACACAAGCAGGATGCGCGTGATCCGCACATTCAACGAACTCCAAAACTGCCCACAACCAATTCAGTCGTTCGACACAACTGACGTATGTTATTGGGTCGACATTCGAGACGTCGGGCCTACCACTCACATCACACATCAGACGTGAAAATTCAAATGCATCCAGCATGCGTTAGCCTAGCGTTTCAAATGTGCGGGGTTCAAACCTCGGTACATTGAGGGCTATGCACTGCTGATGGGTTCGAATATGAGCGAAATTCGAACCCGGTGCCTCCCCAGTTTGGTATGGTCTAACCAGAATGATTGCGCCAAGAGAGGAGGATGACTGTTCAAACCACCACAACATTGGCAGTCGTTAGATGACCCTGATCTTGGCCTAAGTCAGCGAAGTGATCCGTTCTATCCTCATCGGTTTGTAGAACTAAACTTCACAGTTGACCTGCTCATTTGTCTTACGAGTAATTCCATTACACGACACGGAACATAGTCGGTAACTATAAAAGGCACACTGCAGACAGCCAGAGTACCTGTGAAACGGAAAGGAAAATATGGCACAAGTTTAACTGACCTTCAGTATGAGAAATCACTACTCGTGGAACCAGTCAACACCAAATGGCAAGAAGGGGATAGTGTGGTCGAACGACCTTGGCACTGTCTCATTGTAAGCCAAGCACACCGCCCATGAATCATTCCTGGCCAGATGTCAGAGTGTTCAAAACACCAACCAGAAGGCTGCAGAGTAGAATCTCCGCGGGAAATCGTCAGATGCCCACTGTTGGTGATTCCCTCCAACCTTATCCTGGTATAAAAGGCCAATCTTCAATGCAGCGTTCTTGGCAGTTCATACCAGAAGCTTGTGATGTGTTGTCTGGTGCGGCATGGTCGACGACCGTTTGTGTACTCCCAGCACACCTGCAGGAGCACTAAACGTTGAATATTGACCTCATAAACCTGAACAGCCCAACAGCGCTGCTATCAAAGGACTGACCCAAGCATCATCGAAGGCCTAGCTGGGGTCCATAGCGTTTTAACTTGTGAAAACTTATAAGATTGAGTAATGGTAACACGTTCGCCTCGCATGTCAAATGTGCCGAGTTCGAACCTCGGTACGGTGGGCGATATGAGTTCTAATATGAGCAAAGCTCGAGTTCATTGATTTTTCCGCTTTGGTCTGTCCTCGCTAGAAGGATTGTGCCGGACAAGGGGAGGAGAACTGTTCAAAAGACCGGAATGTGGACAGTTGAGGTCACGTAGGGTTGATAAGAAGGATCCACTATCGCGATGGTAACAACTTGTAACGAATGGACGTCTCAGAATGAACGCAGCTGCCAAAGTTAGCCCGTTAAGCGCGTTCCTCGCGTATGTGTGCATGTGTGTTTTGCCTTTGTTACTGCCCGCTGGCTGCCTCACATCAGTCGTCAACAGAGAGGAGAGTTTCACGAAGTGTTAAGCTGATTAGGTCAGATTGGCTAGCGCGAAATTCTTGTCAACTAAGGTCACACTGCAGAAGCTTTAAATAGACTCACGCACCGAAAGGTAGACTTATTCGTCACGTCTGTTCCCTTGACAAAGGTGAAAAACCTTCTGGTCTAATATTACGACAAACAACTTTCCGTAATCCGACATAGTTTATTGAATCGGGTGAATTAGCGTGATTCAGTCTGCTCGAATGATGGTGGAATGGGCATGCTTGAGTTCGTCGCTTTTGTTTAAACCGGGCTCCATGGAGGTTTTAGTAGACACAGTTTAGCTAGTCGACCGATGTACCGAAAAAGATGCTCTTCAGTAGTCAGGATTTATGAGTTACCATTGCCATTTCGGAGTTCATTTATCAAGTGTGACTCTCGTTGACAACTCAACGCTTGATCATGCCTTGTCAACTACGTGCCAGTGATACCTGTCCATTGTTCAATGACTACGAATCAGACAGACCATGAGGTCTGGTCCTGTAAGGAAGGCGTCCTCTGAAGAATTGTTCCCCCGTTCATGCGTGCTACAACGCATTGGTCAATTTCTGACCATAAATGAGTGGTAGGTATCAAATAGTTCCCTTATACATACATACCAGGCAGCGCAAATCTGGTTGGATATTATGTGTAGGTGTGGAAGTGGTCCTATATACTGTTCTTCAGAACACCGGGTTGTTCCAACACCAAAGCTACTGTATTTCCCGCGCTAAGAATGCTCATAGTATAGTGGTAATACGTGTGTATACCAAAGTGAATAGACTGCATTAGACATCTTAGTATATTGGGACACTCGCACACCTCGTAGAAATATGTTCAAACGTCGCTATATTAGTGATATTTGAAGGTGCTTCACGTGCCATTGATTGATTTCAATACGGTGGAGCATGATACCATCTGCGATAATCTAGCTCCTGGAAACAGTCCTCATGGAAAAACTTCTTCAGTTCGGAGTAACATGGAGAACAAAGAAAAACATCGGACAGTTTCAGTTGGCAACCCCCTTTGAACCAACCAACTTCTGGACCGAATTCCCACAGAGTTCTTTCTTCATCGTGGAGTCCATGACTTTACTTTCGATCGTAGCACCAGGCCATCGACCCAAGAAGGGCGAAGCCGGACGTGGGCTGTCGGAGCTGAAGTCCTGTTGCGGGTTTTAA